TCAGGACGTAACAAGTTGGTATCAGAACCCTGGTTTGAGAGAATTAGATGAACACTCGTGTGATTCCAGACTCAAACTGAGGATCTGAATGTCTTAACAAATATTTTTAAGAAAAAGAACTTTAGTCAAACAAAAAATGTGGTGCGTACAGTCAGTTGGAGCTCAGAAAGGAAAGTGATTCCCAAAATATCCATATTCATTATGTTTGTTGATATATGAGATGGTAGAAATGCATGCTAGTATGCAGGCTAGGGATCTTTTCAGGAATTGTCAGTTAGAATTGTCTGATACTTAAGATGCCTTATAGTCTAAGGATTTACTTATTAATTGCTACTTAGAACCTATATTAATATTAATTAGTTGTGCGACAAATACGATAAGTTGCATGCTCCCAGAATTAAATAGTTTTAGATTGCCTGATTTGGTGTTATTGCGCAACTCTTGTTTGAGTCCAACCGTTGTAGTGTCGGATCATTCAGTCGACAGACTGTTTGATTTTAGAGGCATGTAATCGTATTCATCAAATAATTAGTTAGTATTAGTAGAAGTTCTTCCTTGGCAAGTTGTAGGGTAAAATGGAAGTAATTATAGAAAGAGAGTCTTGGAAGTTTAATATGTTCTTGATAGGGCGTATATTCATGCGGTAGGACATTGATAAAGACGCAAAATCCTACTGGAGTCTAACAAGATCTTTTGTATGTGCTTGTTAAGACACATGCATATATCTTTAGTGGTCATCATGTGTAGTGTTGGAAAGTGACTTGGAACATTTGGGACAATTTTTGGGACAAGTATGAGTAGGTGTGAAAGGTAGTAGAGGCCTATACTACCAGAAGCACATGACTCGCACTTGGATCAGGAAGAGTCGCAAAGTTACTAAGGCATTGGTAAATAGTGTAGCTAACAATATAAAATTCCTTTGCGTTGTCATTACCTGTTGTACGGTGATGTTTAGAAGAGTGAATCTAAGTTCGGGCCCAAGTAGGAATAAAAGATCGAGTAAAAAAATTACTTAAGAGAGTGGGTTCGAGAACCTTGTCTGATATAGAGTCAAATTTAGTCACGAGATTTAAGAAGGAGATGATCATGGTGTTCGACATAAGAATTGCAGCCTTCGTTGGGGCGAAGTAACTGGCGACAAGAGTTTCTACCTGTTATCGTGTGGTTGTATGTCAACCTCTCATAACCCAAGGAAGAAGGATCAAGCTTCTGACACAAGAATAATAAGAGAGAAGGAAGGTGTCTTCCATACCAGGATTTATCTCGTAGAGACAAGAATTCAACTCGTCGTGAATCTTTTTGTAACAAAACGTTATTAGGTGATGTGAATATTTAATGCATTAGTTTTTTATTTATAATTCCTAGTTTATCGCATCTAAACCACACCTTACAGGCAGTGAACCCGATCGAGTATAGTATAGCTTTGATAAGCAAGGGTGTCGAACGCAAGGGGAACGGTAGTGAATTAATTTAAAATGTTTGATTATAGGTTACACAAAACACACGAAAACAGTAAAGAAATGTTTTATGGAATTAAAAATTTCAAACAAACAAATAAATAGCAAATCTCGATAAGCTGACCGAAGACAAATCTCTTTAGGTACTTTGGTTTAGACAAATTTCATCTTGAAATCATAGAGAATTGCACACACAGATTTATTTATTCATGGTCACCGATTTCTAAAATGATTAGGTTCATATTCACTATTACTAATCCTTTAGCAAACAAGTCAATTCAAACATTGGCCAATTGATTAAACTAACAAGTTTCCTAGTGTTCAGTTCGTATCAAGCAAGACTTGTAATCTTAGTTAATTAAATTTGTCAATTTCATCAACTTATATGTGGTTGTTCATCACACATGCTCACACATTAACTTACTTATTTTCTAATTAACCCTAGGTTTATGTTCACTAATACTAGGCATACAATCTTGTTTTCACAAAACTATATGATTAAAGCAATTAAGATTATGTCCATACAACTCAATAAACTTGATTACACTACTAGAAAACAACCCTTTAATGACGCGCAAACCATGACACACGCAGATTTACGATACGCAAAAGTGTGTATCCTAAAAATAATGTTAGCTCTCCCTAAATTTAAAGGATTTAGAACACGCATTTTTGCGTGCCCTAAATTTAGTGTCTCACAAAAAAAACCACGGAGGGCGCTTATCTTAAACGTGTGTCCTCTATAAGTGTCGCTTTATAGTTTTACAAACGCGCGGCTCCTTTTTAGAAACTAGCTAGCAGCGGGAAAAGAAAATCCAAAAAAATTAGAAAACCCACCTTCTTCGTTTCCCCTAATTTGCCCTAGGTGTGTTCTTTTCCCACAAAAATTATTGCAGCTCTTCCTCCGCCTCCCTACATCGAGTGCTTCATTTGGATTTCGAAGTGAAATACAACGATATTTTCGGAGCTGATTTGTTGGCTTTCATTTACATCCATGTGGAGGAGATCGCTACCGGAAAAGTGATCTCTAGTTGGTTCCTTTCTTACGCTCATCGTTGTTTTGCAGCTTCACGACCTCCACCGCCATCACATGATTTGATGCTTAATATTCTCATTCTCTCGATATCCACTGCACCGTGCATCCATACATCAAATCACTATATCCTTCTTTCACCATCTTGAACCCTAGATCCCCGTCCCCAGCCTTCTTTCACCATTTGTCTCTACCTCTGTCGAAAAATCACTACACCGCCACGGGAAACCCTAGAGAATGTCGTTGTTGTTCTACCTGAAAACCCTTGACCCATGAAGTATGGAGACACGTGATGTGGGTACGTTTGTTCATTAAATATGTGTGTTTATTTGTGTTAATCTTTATATTCAAGCGTCACCACCATTTTTTGCTGTTGATTCGATCTTTCGAGCTTTTATTGGGATTGATGGCGATGAACAAAAATCAAATTCCCACATGATTCTATCTATGCACACACAGAGAGTTTAGATCTAAATTTTTAATATGACATTGACTTTTGGTGGTTGTCGAGGCCAACAAAATAAATACCATAAATATTACACACTAAAACAGTGTATAGTGGTAAAGGGGTCGAATCCACGGAGATTGGTTCAATTCGTTACTTCTATGAAAATCTTGTTGTACAAACACTTGTAAAACTAAAATAAAACAAAAATGGGGGATTTTGATCTTTTGAGATGTTTAAAAGAAAACTAAAATTACACTAAGATTTAAAAAACACAATTCAACAAAAGCAAAGTTTGATGTAAAATCAATAAGATAAAGATGGTTGACTTTGGACTTTCATTACTTGAATATTTGGTTAATTAATCATGAGAATACCAAGGTGCAATACTTGTGTTTATAATCTAACTTGGCTATAGCAATTTATAAGCATAACTTGCCTCAGCTCTTCTTTTGTATTAAAATGACTAGAGAAGCTCATAGCACATTTCCTAAATCAAAGTCACAAAACTAATGAAGCATGTAATTTTGTGAAAATCAATTAGCATTAGGTTTTAAGAGTCACCAAATCCAAAGAGTAATCTATTGCTTTCATTACCACTATGGAGAAAATATTTTCTTAGTCTAAATGAAATGAAAACAAACATTTAAACTAATTGTTGCTTGTTAAATTGAAGATCCATTACTTAGCCAAGAATTTAACCAACAAAAATAACATTCACATATCAATATTCATGACTAGAGATATATAAACATGAAGGAAGTTTTCATAGAAAATATAATCATAGATATTCAACACAAGTTCATGGAGTTCTTAAAAATAGCCAAAACATTCAAGCAATTACATCCAAATCAACCAAATATGAGTCTAGCCAAGCATGGCCAAAATGAAAGAAATGCAAAGTAGATTAGTGATACCAAACATTGCTCCAAGCTTCTAAATCTTCCAATCTTCTAGAGAGCAAAGGTGTTTGTTCCTCCAAGTATCCCCCCCCTTTTCTTCCTCAAAAAACCAGTAAATAGGTGTAAAAATTCGGATCTAAAAGTCCCCCAAAAGCATTCCACCAACCTTCCCAAAATAGAGTCAAAAAGTAAAAAATCTGGATTCTTCACAGTGCGATCCACGCGGACCGCGTGGATTCTGGGCCATTTGGCCCATTTGATTGGCCTTCTAGTTTTTCTCCTTTATTTCTTGGTCCAGCCCACATGTAAAGGTTCTTGATAGCCCAATTGTGTCTTCTTGACTCTCCCAAGATTGGCCATTGCTTCCTTGATCTTCTATAGCTCAAAATTCTCTTCACGTCATCATCATTCTTCATCTAAAATTAAGCCCAACTTGCTCCTTTGATTATGTTGACAATATGCCCAATCACACCACTTCAAGTCCACAAGCAAACCGCAAGCCTCCAAAAGTCCCGCACTCCTTCCATACCTCCAATGACAAATAGTCTTCGGTAAATCCTGCAATTAAGCTCAAAAGACTGGAAAGCACCCGATAAAGGAGAAAAATAACAAAAAGAGAAAATATGCATGAAGATTAACTAAAATGAGATGGTTTTAACTAAAAATAAACTATAATAATAAGTAATAAAATGAGATTCACCACCATTTTTTGTTGTTGATTCGATCTTTCGAGCTTTTATTGGGATTGATGGCGATGAACAAAAATCAAATTCCCACATGATTCTATCTATGCACACACAGAGAGTGTAGATCTAAATTTTTAATATGACCTTGACTTTTGGTTCCATTTTAAAGTTTAAGAAAATAGTTGTTTGATTCCTGTAGGTGTGAATGTGATAGAGGATCTGATTATATTGGTAACTTTGGATACAGTTTGTTTCTTTCTACCGACTTAGTGGAAACACTACTTAATTTGAGAAACTTTATTGGTAGTGGAATTTAACAATCAACAGTATCTGTTAAATATTTTTCAGGTTTATTATCAATTGGAGAACTTGAGTAGAGCAAATCCTCCATACAAATATGTTGTTGCATTAAACTGTGTTATCTTAGGGTGTGCAAATATATGGGATGTTGATTGAGCATATCAAACTTTTAGTGCCATGGAGTCAACTTTTGAGTTGACTCCCGACATCCATTCATACAATGCTCTCTTAACTGCATTTGGAAAGCTCCATAAGGTTTTTATAGTCTTTTCAACTCATATAACCTAATTTCTTTTGTAAACCATATATTTTTTTGTAGAGAGATGAAGCAGTTAGAGTGTTTGAGCACTTAGTAAGCTTAGGAGTGAAGCCTAATGAGAAAACATACGCTCTTTTAACCGATGCTCATCTCATTAAACGGGATGTCGATGCTGCAGTTTCAACAGTTAATGACATGGTAATGTTTTTTCTTTTTATTATTATGATAAATGATTTGTTTATGTGATTAGGTTATGACTTATTAATTTATGATTTTGTGAAATGATTTTTTATAGCCAATCAAAATCCTTTTGTGATATTGTAACTTTATATGCTATTTATGCAGGTTATGGACATGGAACACGAGCTTCGAGCATTACGAATTCAACTGGCTGAGAAGTCAAAGCGGTCAATTGAGCTTCAGAAAGAGGTGGGGTTTCAATTTTCTTTTTTTACAGTCTTATTGACCATTTTGCCCTCTGATTAATTGCTAAGTAAACCATCTTTGTAAATACTAAATGCAACAAAATTACGCATCATTGTTACATTACTCATTGGTTTTTCATGTGCACCCCACAATTTGAACAGATTGTAACTTTTCATAAAATTTGCTAATAAGAACTTAATCCATGTGACACTAAAAAGGTCAAATTGGGCTCTTTCTTTGGTTTGTGAAGGAGTTTAGAATCCATATGGTAACAGAGGCTCGAAGGAATTTGTTGTTTAATCTTGAATTTAGTATTGAGTATGCTTAAATTATGTTTGTGCACAAGAGACCTGTTGATTTCAAGAATGTAAGACACTCTTTTTTCATGTTTCTTATTAGCTTTAATTCAATATATTTTAGATGTACTAATTCATTCCATTACAGAGTGTGATTTGATTTGTTGCAGGAATCGTGTGATGGGGTTTTAGCATTTGAGTATTATTATTTACACAGTTCTTGGAGTTACCTTAATCTGTTCTTGAATCAGCCAATTGGCGAGATGTTAAAAATCAATGCAAATTTCTTGGTTTTGCGCAATTTTAGAGCATTTGGGATTAGTTGATGTTAAAAATCTATTAAAAATCAAAGATTAGCTGTATTTGATGGAACAACTATATCAGAAACTATCTTGCTTCAACAGACTATGATGACATAGTCAAGGTATAATTTAGTAAATTTACACAATTATTTTATAAAGTTAGTACATATGTTAATAAATAAATAAATACAGATATGGGACGCTGGAATTGGTGAAGCAGTTTATCATCATATGGAGCATGAAAGGTGGACATGGTCTGTTGACTTTTCTCAAGTAGATCCTATGAAGTTAGCCAGTGGAAGTGGTGATTGTACTGTGAAATTATGTAGCATTAATGAGGTATACCCCTTTTTACCCTTTTACCCTTTTAGTTAATTATATATCTTTATATATATAAATGATTGTGGTTTTTGATATATATGTAAGAGAAGAGCTTGACCATAATCAGAAGTGCAACATATATGTGTTCTGTCTAATTTTCGCCTTATTCCAGTCATTTATTGTGACATCCCCATTTTCACGGCCAGAAAGACCGATTTTGTTTATGCTTTATAAAAATCAGAGTACTTCTTTTAATACAAATGTTGCGAAATTTATTCCCAGAAAAACATGATAAATACGTTATCAAAACATTTCCAAAGAAATGTATTTTTTATTCATTTTAAAACCTTTGGGATGTCATCGTCAATACATAAACATAAGCATAAACAGAACTTACATTCATTTACACTAGTGATCTATATCTATTTAATCTCTCAGTGCTATGTAACTTCATATCGACACCTGAGATACAAATAAGCTTGAGTGTGTCAGGTTGGGAAACCTGGTGAGTACATTGGGTTTTCAACCCACAATAATATAATTATTATGTTTAAACATCAAAAAATCGACCCAATTACCTATCCCCATTATCTTCCTTACTCTCAAGGGTCTACCCTAAGAGTCATCTATTCGTTCATTCCGAAGTCCCTTTCTTCCAGGGTTATAAGACAGACACTAATTCCATAGCTGCCAATGCTCGTTCGTAAAGCACTAATTCCATAGCTACTAAAGTTCATTCATCGGGCACTAATTCCATAACTACCAGTGTTCATCTAATAGGTACTAAGTCCATAGCTACCAACGTTTATTAGGTACTAAGTCCATAGCTACCAACGTTTATCCATCAGGAACTAAGTCCATAGCTACCAACGTTTATCTATCAGGTACTAAGTCCATAGCTACCAGTGTTTATCTATCAGGTATTAAGTTCATAACTGCCGATATTATTTAGGCACTAAGTCTATAGCTGCCAATGTTCACTCACATCATCTTTCATCCCTCATCATTCATCTACCCATGTTTCACCCAACATATTTGTAGATATAAAATACGTATACAGTTTAAATCATTTAAAACATGTATAAAATCATTCATCGAGCATAGATAGCAAGTATACAGACAATATGCACACATAACACGTAATTTATATAAAATACTTCATATCTATGTGTAAGATGAAAGTAACTATGCACTCACCTGTTAAGGTGGTGACTCGGAACTCGGACAGCGCTTCGTTATCTCAAAATAAGTTTTCCCTTGACAAAACCTAGTATCAATACCACTAGGGTTTAATCTAACGTTAACCGTGACTAATTAATAGTCTAGCTATTATTATTATTATATAAGTGTTAAACAACACCCTATATAACTCATAATAATAGCCCAAATAATTATTTTAAGGACCTAATAACATTACTATAATTATTTAAAAGCTATATTAAAAATTTCATAGGCGTAGCTCACTTACAGCGGATTTTAAAGAAAACCGGGCTTCGCTTGGAGCAGCGTTTCCGAACCGAAAGACCCTTTTTCTCGGGACTCCGGGAGCTTCGGGGCTTCCTTCGGGTGCTAGGGGGCTTACCTAGGCTTAGGAGGGGTTTAGGAACCTTTAGAGAGAGAAAGAAGTTAGAGAGAGAGTGGATTTTGGGGTGAAGAGAATGGCAGCCTCGGCCCTCTATTTATAGTGTTGGAACTTCGGACTACGCTGGACGTAGCCTTCGGTTACGTTGGGCGTAACTCGGATAAGGTTGCCAGCTTCGCACAGCTGGCTCGCACTTGCATCGGACCCGGATAAGACCGAGGTACGCTGGGCGTACCCAACCTCGGACGTGGGGCGTAGAGCGAAGGCGACGTGTCTTCATCTGGTGCGAGGCCTGATCAGCGATGAACGACCCTGATGCTGCCACGTCATTAATCTCGCAACAGGCTTCACAAAATTGAGTTCCAACTTCAAAAATTTGTATCTTCCTTATACGAGCTCCATTTTCGACGTTCTTTATATCCACGCGTAGGCGGGAACTTACTCTATAACTTTCATTTAGACTCCGTCGGCTAATTTTGACTTTATTTTAAATTTATATTTTTAACAGGCCGGGACATGATTGGTCCGTTAAAAATTAATAACTTCTTCATCCGAAGTCCGTTTTCGTCTTTTTTTTATCGTTACGCTACTATTAACAAGATCTTCGATTCTCGTTTAGGTTGTGTCGGCTAAAAAGTGCTCGATCTAATATTCGAACATCGGGCTGTACACCGCTAAGCCGAAACTTCGAAAAATCATAACTTCCTCATACGAAGTCAGATTTGGGCGTTCTTTTTATGGGCGCTCTCGGTTTAACGTTTTCTACGACTTTCGTTTAGATCGCTAAGGCTAAAAGTCGCTCTATCGTAAATTCACTATTTACGCTTCCCGGTGTCGTGCCGGTTTTACCGTAAAACTTCGACGGGCCATCACTTATTCATTATAACTCGGATTTCGGCGTTCTTTATATGTACGGAACCCTTGTAACATATACTACTACTTGGTTAAGATTATTCCTTCTAAATAATCTTCCATCAAAAACTCATTTTTGATGCTCATTGTCTCTAAATTGATAGCCCGGATCTACGGGCGTTACAATTATCTCCCCCTTAGGATGATTACGTCCCGGAATCATCAACGAGACAGGGTTGTATAATGACTCCTTACGTTATCTCTTCATCCTAGGTAATAACCGTAACTTCTATGTTGCTTTGAACGCGTATTTAACTCTTGGACTCCTTGACTGCAGGCGGTGCTCGATCTTGAACCTGCTCCGTTAGACTCCAAATTATGGCCTTCAAGTCACAATCTCGATCCTTACTGGAGACTCCTTCTTCTTCTTAAGATAAGTTCTTTTTTTACTACAATGGATCGATGTGTCATATTCTAATGACCTATCATCGTAGGTTGCAACGCTTAGACTCAGTCTCTTAGAGTTAAATTCCAGAACAGACTATACCTTCCTTCATGTTCTAATGTGATATAATCACATCTTAAAAGGTAGCATTCCTAGCTACAAGCAACTATCGCGATACCTCTACTGATCGCTTTGATTGTCTTTCACTTCAAGTTTCTAGCTTAAGTCAGATGCTACATCGGACTTGGTTCTCTGAACCATTTAACATACTCGTCTTAGTCGGACTCAATTTGATATGACCGCTAGGGTCGGAATAACAACAATATTCTTAGTCATTACCGAAACAATGGTAACGACATACTCGAATAAAACGAAGTCAATTACTAGCTCCTTGGTAACCTTGTGACTTTCCCTAATCCAAGTGTGAGTCTTGTGCTTCCGGTAGTATAGGCCTATACTACCATTCACACCTACTCATACTCGTCCCAAGTATTGTCTCCCAGTCCCCAAGCTCTAAAATCACAAAACAATTTAACACATACGAATGTGTCCAAATAATCATAGAAAATTTCCTAGACTCTACTAGGACTTCTTCCATGCGTATCTTCAATCATCAATTCTACTTCGTCTCGGTTGGTGATGGAAATTCCAGACGATAGGACAACTTCAAGAATTACACCAATCGTTCCATCATCCTGCCAATCGAAGGTGTACTTCAGACGTACCATACTCCTCTAAACGTTCCACTATTTTATCAGACATATTCTAAAGGCAAGATATCACTCTTACGATATCTTCCAATAGGTGTCATTCACTATCATAAGCCTTTCATTTCCTCCATTTACTCAATTCTCTACGAGTCTTCACCATAACGTTTTGTACACCCAAACAAACGTTTGGTGTACCGGGCGAGAATTTAAGACAAGAAAGCTTTATGTATGATAGACATATAAATCTCCTTATCACTCCGAAATGTTTACATGCTAGTTCTAATACCGTATTCGTACGCTTAGAATCCTAAACACATAAGGTTTCCAGATCTGGTCGGCAACAGACCATAGATCCGAACAAATAATATCATATATGGCAAACATATAACATTTAGCACATAACAACATTTTAGGCATCTTTCCTAAAATATACTAGTGCTCGTGTCTAAAATATAGAAGACACTCATCTCACAATCATCGCTTAACATTCTAAGTTTAAGTCTAGAAATTTCCTACAAATTCCTAGTTCGCTTAAACTAATGCTCTGATACCAACTATATCAGAAACTATCTTGCTTCAACAGACTATGATGACATAGTCAAGGTATAATTTAGTAAATTTACACAATTCTTTTATAAAGTTAGTGCATATGTTAATAAATAAATAAATACAGATATGGGACGCTGGAATTGGTGAAGCAGTTTATCATCATATGGAGCATGAAAGGTGGACATGGTCTGTTGACTTTTCTCAAGTAGATCCTATGAAGTTAGCCAGTGGAAGTGGTGACTGTACTGTGAAATTATGTAGCATTAATGAGGTATACCCCTTTTTACCCTTTTACCCTTTTACCCTTTTAGTTAATTATATATCTTTATATATATAAATGATTGTGGTTTTTGATATATATGTAAGAGAAGAGCTTGACCATAATCAGAAGTGCAACATATATGTGTTCTGTCCAATTTTCGCCTTATTCCAGTCATTTATTGTGACATCCCCATTTTCACGGCCAGAAAGACCGATTTTGTTTATGCTTTATAAAAATCAGAGTACTTCTTTTAATAAAAATGTTGCGGAATTTATTCCCAGAAAAACATGATAAATACGTTATCAAAGCATTTCCAAAGAAATGTATTTTTTATTCATTTTAAAACCTTTGGGATGTCATCGTCAATACATAAACATAAGCATAAACAGAACTTACATTCATTTACACTAGTGATCTACATCTTTTTAATCTCTCAGTGCTATGTAACTTCATATCAACACCTGAGATACAAATAAGCTTGAGTGGGTCAGGTTGGGAAACCTGGTGAGTACATAGGGTTTTCAACCCACAATAATATAATTATTATGTTTAAACATCAAACAATCAACCCAATTACCTATCCCCATTATCTTCCTTACTCTCAAGGGTCTACCCTAAGAGTCATCTATTCGTTCATTCCGAATTCCCTTGCTTCCAGGGTTATAAGACAGGCACTAAGTCCATAGCTGCCAATGCTCGTTCGTAAAGCACTAATTCCATAGCTACTAAAGTTCATTCATCGGGTACTAAATCCATAGCTACCAGTGTTCATCTAATAGGTACTAAGTCCATAGCTACCAACGTTTATCAGGTACTAAGTCCATAGCTACCAACGTTTATCCATCAGGCACTAAGTCCATAGCTACCAACGTTTATCTATCAGGTACTAAGTCCATAGCTACCAGTGTTTATGTATCAGGTACTAAGTTCATAACTGTCGATATTATTTAGGCACTAAGTCTATAGCTGCCAATGTTCACTCACATCATCTTTCATCCCTCATCATTCATCTACCCATGTTTCACCCAACATATTTGTAGATATAAAATACGTATACAGTTTAAATCATTTAAAACATGTATAAAATCATTCATCCAGCATAGATAGCAAGTATACAGACAATATGCACACATAGCACGTAATTTATATAAATTACTTCATATCTATGTGTAAGATGAAAGTAACTATGCACTCACCTGTTAAGGTGGTGATTCGGAACTCGGACAACGCTTCGTTATCTCAAAATAAGTTTTCCCTTGACAAAACCTAGTATCAATACCACTAGGGTTTAATCTAACGTTAACCGCGATTAATTAATAGTCTAGCTATTATTATTATTATATAAGTGTTAAACAACACCCTATATAACTCATAATAATAGCCCAAATAATTATTTTAAGGACCTAATAACATTACTATAATTATTTAAAAGCTATATTAAAAATTTCATAGGCGTAGCTCACTTATTTAAAAGCTATTATTATTATTATTATTATTTCGGGACTCCGGGAGCTTCGGGGCTTCCTTCGGGTGCTAGGGGGCTTACCTAGGCTTAGGAGGGGTTTAGGAACCTTTAGAGAGAGAAAGAAGTTAGAGAGAGAGTGGATTTTGGGGTGAAGAGAATGGCAGCCTCGGCCCTCTATTTATAGTGTTGGAACTTCGGACTACGCTGGGCGTAGCCTTCGGTTACGCTGGGCGTAACTCTGATAAGGTTGCCAGCTTCACACAGTTGGCTCGCACTTGCATCGGACCCGGATAAGACCGAGGTACGTTGGCTCGCACGTGTCTTCATCTGGTGCGAGGCCTGATCAGCGATGAACGACCTTGATGCTGCCACGTCATTAATCTCGCAACAGGCTACGCAAATTTGAGTTCCAACTTCAAAAATTCGTATCTTCCTTATACGAGCTCCGTTTTCGACGTTCTTTATATCCACGCGTAGGCGGGAACGTACTCTATAACGTTCATTTAGACTCCGTCGGCTAATTTTGAGTTTATTTTAAATTTATACTTTTAACAAGCCGGGACAGGATTGGTCCGTTAAAAATTCATAACTTCTTCATCCGAAGTCCGTTTTCGTCTTTCTTTTTATCGTTACGCTACTATTAACAAGATCTTCGATTCTCGTTTAGGTTGTGTCGGCTAAAAACTGCTCGATATAATATTCGAACATCGGGCTGTACACCGCTAAGCCGAAACTTCGAAAAATCATAACTTCCTCATACGAAGTCAGATTTGGGCGTTCTTTTTATGGAAGCTCTCGGTTTAACGTTTTCTATGACTTTCGTTTAGATCGCTAAGGCTAAAAGTAGTTCTATCGTAAATTCACTATTTACGCTTCCCGGTGTCGTGCCGGTTTTTCCGTAAAACTTCGACGCGCCATGACTTCTTCGTTATAACTCGGATTTCGGCATTCTTTATATGTACAGAACCCTTGTAACATATAATACTACTTGGTTAAGATTATTCCTTCTAAATAATCTTCCATTAAAAACTCATTTTTGATGTTCATTGTCTCTAAATTGACTAGCTCGGATCTACGGGCGTTACATTTGTTGTGTTTTAGGTCTGCTGATTATAGAACTTAATGTTATGATCTGAGGAATATTTCCACCCCTTTGTGTACTTTGCTGCAAATTCCAGTGGATGCCTCAAACTCTTGCAGATGGTCTAAGTCTAACAGAGTTGAGCTTCTTAAAAATTGAGTTTGACTTTTTTTTAAAGCTATAATATATTAATTTTGACTTACTTTATTGCAATTTTAACATAACACTGGAAGTACTCTTCTTGTCAATGATGTTATGCAGATAGACCACAGGAAGAAAGGATACAAGATTGGGTTCAACTTCACAGTCTGTGACAGCTAGCAACCCTCTGTCACACCCAAAAACATGCTCGTCTAAGACCTCTGGTACAAGTAGTTTTTCTTGGCTTGACACCTTAAGGCAACTACGGGTAGTTTTTCTTCATTATATTTGTTTTTTTTTAATTTAATTGTGGTAAGCACATTCTTTATCCATATTTTACACTTTTACAATGAAACCATTACCTCTTAAAGCATCACATGATATCTTGGGATTAATGCATCACATGTATCGAGGCCAAGGTGTGTTTCTTTTTTCTATTTTTTTAACGAAATTGAATCTTTTAAGGTAATTCAGTTATTGATAGTTAAACATATTCCTAGAAAATGAATGCTAAGAAGCAGGATACTTAACATAGGTATGCCACACGTGTGTTTTATAAGTTTACTTAGCTTCTTACATCAAAGAGTATAAAGCTTTCCTAACGTGTTCTAATAATTAAGAAAATGGTGTTTTTTGAAAAATGCTTCTCAATTTATCTTATCAGGAAGAATGGAGAACAGACATCAAATCTCTTCGCGCTGACACTCTTAAAAAACTAAAGAAAGAACTCTCTGAGTTGGAAAGAGAGGTACTTTTAATAATTGTATCAAAGTGGATTTCAATTGTTGGCTATATTTTGTTAAATTTTCTCATCTAATTTCATTTACATGGTAAACATGATTGTGATTTGCAGCCTAAATACCTTGAAATTTTGATGCCACCATTGGTTGCAAAATGGCAGCAGCTTTCAAACTCAGACAAAGATCTTTTCCCACTTTTGGAGTGCTTTACATCCATAACACATGTATTGTTTCTGTTTCTTATCAATTTTATTGTAAAAAACTAAAAAAATAAGAGGCCTTTGGATAAAGCCCGCCCGGTCCAAAAAAAACCCAGAAAAGGCCCAGTCTCCAAAACTTCAGCACCGAAATCTTGTTAAACTCCTCGGATGTAGCATATAGGGAGATTAAAAGTTGTTATGAGTACATGCCAAACAGAAGCTTAGACTTGTGTTTATTTGGTCAGAATCACTTAATTGCCATTAATTTAACGCTTACGAACTAAGCATTCACCGAAACTGAATATGACTACATCTTCATGTTGGGCAGATAAGACACGAAGTTCTCAACTTGATTAGACGTACAACGCATTTTAACATTATCAAAGGAATTGCTCGAGGACTTCTTTATCTGCATCAAGATTCACGATTAAGAATCATCCATAGAGATCTTAAAGCTAGCAATGTTTTACTTGATTTGGACATAAACCCTAAGATATCATACTTTGGCATGGCTAGAAGCTTTGGAGGAAACGAGACTCAAGCAAACACACAGAGAGTTGTTGGCACATAGTAAGCTAGATAATGCAACTGTATATAAATTCTGCTTCTCTTGAGTTCATTTTTTATTACATTTACTCAATATTGGAATAATTATTTGTATTTGACATATTAGTGAAATGAATTATCTTTGTTATTTATGGTATTTTATTTTGTATTATTGGAATAATTATTTGTATTTGACATATTAGTGAAATAAACTTCGTAAATGGTTGCTGAAGTTTATGACACGCAAATGCGTGTCATCTTCATTTATGACATGGACTTTAATGATACGCAATGCGTGTCCTAAACGCGCGTCGTAAGGTTACGACACACAAATGCGTGTCATCTTCTTTTATGACAGGGCCTTCCTTGACACGCAATGCGTATTGTAAATGCACGTCGTAAATGCGTGTCGTAAATGCGCGTCATAAATGCATGTCGTAAATAGACGACGCGCAAAAACATGTCGTTTTTCGTTATGACAGGGCCTTCCTTGACATGCATTTGCGTGTCGTCTGAGCGTTTTACGACACGCATTGCGTGTCGTAAAAGGCTGTTTTTGTAGTAGTGTTATTAACAGAAAATAATTATCATTAACACATAAGGGTCTTTTTCAAGCTTAACAAGATAAATTAAACACGAATAAAACAATCCAAATAGCAATTAATCCATAAATCAAGGTTTCATCTAATCATAAACACAAAACAAAGGGTTTTAACACCCAAATCAGAAAGTAACACATAGTGGCATCACAATGGAATGCTAAACATGGTCACGTTAACAAACCACATGATTACCGACACGAATCCGCTCTCTAATCCCTTAGATCTTTGCTTTTGTCAGCTTAATGGCACCCAGACGCCTTCTAGACCCTCAAAACGGCCAAATATAAGTTACTTATCGACTAAGGATCAATGATAGTCGAGTTCTCTTTTCTGGTTGGCCGAAAATCGCTTTTTATAAACATTAGAACCGACTTACGTACGTTGGGTGTAAGTAGGTGTACGCGGGGCGTACCAAGAAACTCATCGTGATTAGGAATTCCGGACACCTTCCCAGTACGTTGGGCGTAATTCTATCTACGCAGGGCGTAGTCTTCATCTCCTGAGTACGCTTGGCGTAAGCCCCACTACGTGGGGCGTAGTGGGCTGCCTTCAGCCATATACATCCTTTAGCCTTCTAAGCCCAACTTCCATCTTCCTTTAAATCTTTTCGGCTCTAGCAACATTATTCCTATAAAATATAAATTTAAACGTTATAAGTACCTTTAAGTTCTAAATAAGAGTAATAAAGGCTAAAATACTAAGATATGATATATATATATATATATATATATATATATATATATATATATATATATATATATATATGTGTGTGTGTGTGTGTGTGTGTGTATAAAAATACACATATCATTAGGTTATGATCGCTAAGTTAATTACTGTAGATAAGATAGATACCACTTCATAAGACGAGTTAGGAAGGAACGTGTGTGCTCATTGGAAGTTGAGTCTACGACTCAAAAGTTGGGACTGAAGTTACATCAAAGGATAAAAGAACATGCGCAAATTCAGGCACATCGATCGGTAAATAGGTTCAGACCAATAGATTCTCGCTCGATAGATTAGGAAAGTGGCGTTCATTATAGAGAGTATAAAAAGACACATGCGATTGTCTTCCGTACGTTACCATCCGGGTGTTCCAGAAACGGTTGAGATGACCATTACGAGAGGATCAGTGGGAAGACGACAAGTCGATTGGTCTAGAGAGAAACAAGAGGGGTATTAGATTTAGCAACTATCATTGTTATTAGTATTTTGACAAAGATAGCCATATCCTCCTTTACCCTTAGTTATACATATGCATCGGGTAAAAGAAGAAGGGATTCTTCTAAAAGAATACCCATAGGATTATATTTTTCTCAAAGTGGTTATCGAGGAATGGTTGGATTTTCCTTTTAAGCGTTAGGTAGAGTCCAGAAGTTACCAAATCCCCATGTTCAGCTCAGATGCCCAAGAGAATCATATAGGTTATTCAAGCTTGAGCCACATCAATCCTTCATAAGAGACTTCTTCTTCTTCAAGATGCACCAAAAACACTCAAGCAGCTCAAGATCTTCACAAATAGGGCTAGGGTTTCGAGATGATGCTTCGGAGAGGTGGAGGCTGAGTATAGAGAGGTTTCCCAGAAGTTAAGGATCTTAAATAGGGCTCAAACCCTAAAAATTAGGGTTTTAGATCTGAGTGAGTACACCCTGTGTACTTCTCTTGTATGCCCAACGTACTCAAGAGGGTCCCCGTTTCTTTTATTGAGGTACGCCCTGCGTACAACCACTCCCAACTCCAGTTCAACTTTAAACAGTCGTAACTTCTTCGTTCCAACTCCATTTTTGACATTCTTTATATCCACATAAAGGTCTTGAAGGTTCTACAACTCTATCTTGTTACTTTTGGCTCACCACCGATCGAACATAAAACCTTAACCCTTACAAGTGGCCTGACACGTAGATTTCCCTATTTCCCCCTTGGTTCCAATATACGATTTAAGGGTTATACCTCCTTACCAACAATAACATCTTTCATTAAAGTCCAAACCTTGTTTCCTTAAAGCCCCAAATCCTTCACATATCCGAATTAGGGTCCACGAGCCCAAAATCATAGAACGATCCGAAACAGGGTGTTACAATATATATATATATATATATATATATATATATATATATATATATATATATATATATATATACCGGTTTCGGCGGGTACCCAGCGGGTAGCGGTACCGTAAAAATAATAATCGGAACTGATACTGCTTAAGGCAGATCCGACTTTGGAACCAGCGGTTCCGAGGTGGTTTAAGTTTCGAAAACGGGTACCCAGTTCCGCTGCTCATCCCTAGGTGTGGCAAGGAACCATACATTTGTGGTAAAAGCTAACATAACACTTACGTGACAGTGAAGAAAGTGCGGTTTCTGTTGCACCACTCCCTCCAGCCTAATAATCCAGTTCGACTAAACCATTCAAGGAAAAACGAGTTTGATGTTTTCATAATTAAAATTTAGAATGTAAATACTTTTTCTCTATTATTTGTGACACTTTTTTTTTTCTAAATGGGCCATACCAAAGTCCTCTATCAGTCATGTTTTTTTGTGAAAGCCTCGCCTAAAGTATGGATACCACACTGCAGAGGCATTAAAACACATGTTAAAAATAGTGATTCTCATGTGACGATAAAACATAAGACAAGTCCGATTAAAATATTAATATTTATTTGGTTGATTATTTAAAATTTCATAAATAATTATTTTACTTATTGGAAAATTTATTTTATTAAAATGAGAATCATTTTTTTGAACCAAAACTATCAACATCAGAATATTATATATAATCATGTTATTACAATAAAATTTGATAGGGATAAAATTCTTCTAAAATGAACTATTATTCAAATTTGATCACGGTATATAGTGTGTATAGTTCTATTACAATGTGATGTTGATTGAGATATTAACGTTGAAATCGATTTCAACTTCTTAAGCAGTAATAAAAATTATTATAGATACAAAACTACATAATTATGAAGAAAATATTAAAAAAAGAAATAAGATTTTCATATGATCATGTACATACAAAAACACAAGATTATAAAGATACAAACTTACTTGTTGCAATGATTAGGCTAATTGAATGAATGGAGTTGTGATGCTCTATGAAGCTTCTTATGACTTGCACGGCTTAATTTCAAGTTGAATAGATAAAATTTTTAGGCTCGATTTCAAGTTAAAGGAACAACTTTTTTAAGCCAAACATTGGATTCTCAAGCATAATGGATAAATTTCATAGGATTTAAAAGACCAAAAAATTTGATGACATAATAAAGACTAAAAGTATATGATCAAATCAAGATAACATGTTATAATTCTAGTCAAGATTCTAACAAAAAAAAATACATATTTTGCTTCAGAGACGGTCCTATGAACGCTTTTGCTTGTAAGATCTTAAAATCTTAACAAATCATTATTCATTAGGTTTTTTTGGGATAATAACTTAAAAGGGTAATATATTTTTTGATCTGTACACATTTTGTCATCGAGTGTTTTTTGGTCCACATTTGACCATTGAACTTGTTTTTTTGTCCTCATTCAGTCCTTATAACCGGCTATTCCAGGTTAAGCCGGAAAAATGATTTAATAGAGTACTATATTTTTCAGTTTGTACACATTTAATCCTTGATGTTTTTGCACACATTTAGTCTTTATGATCAGTTTCTTCAGATTTTGCTCACGGCATCATATATGAGACAATCATTAATGAGGTGTTCTCATACATTGCTCGTCCTTCATTTATATCAGTAACCTAATTCATGAATCGATCAAATAATGTTGGTGCCCTAGTTTTCTCCAAAGAGAAGATGTCTTCGGCTTTGGTTTTATCTCTCTATAACAAACAACAAGAACTTTTGTGATTGTTTCCTTCTAACTCGAATTTGCACCTTCAAGACAAAAGAATTAAGTAAGATGCTAAAATAATTTGCCCTTCCAAGACAAAAGAATACCCTGACAAAAATTTTCATCTATCTCTATAGCAGACAACAAAATTCTTTGTGATTTCTTCCTCCTAACTCGAATTTGCACTTCCAAGACAAATAATCTCGTTGTCTGCTATGGAAATAGATGAAACCGAAGACGAAGACATCATCTGCTTGGAGAAAACTAGGGCACCAACATTATTTGACCGAATTGTGAATTAGGTTACTGATATAAGTGAAGGACGAGCCACGTATGAGAGCACCTCATTAATGATTGTCTCACATATGACGTTGTGAGCAAAATCTGAAGAAACCGATCATAAGGACTAAATATGTACAAAAACGTTGTAACATACTGAGATTTTCAAGTATTTCTGAATCCTCTCTTTTATTATTATTTTGTCATTTGTAGTCCCTGGGGTTGGAAGAGTCAAGCCATGAGAAGCCTAAGGGTTAAAGTTGCAACTTGAGACCAAGAAGAGCACGCTAAGCATACATAAGGTACAC